CATTGTAATCTTGCATCACCCCCCCTAGGGAGAGTCTGTTTCAAAAGAGTATCTCCTAGCTTTGCTTGTTTTTAAGAAACTGTGGTTGGTTGCATACCTCATGTGCTACAGAGTGACCTCTTGCTCCTTGCTTCCCATGGCACTATGCTAGTTATACCTCTTGTTGTGGTCAGGGGAAGTATGCACCCTTCTTTCTCTCTTGTCTCCATGTTTACTTTCAAAAAGCTTAGTTTTATGGTAAGCTATGCATACACCTTATTTACCCATTTCATTCTGTATATTAAGCTGCCTCCAAAGGCATACAGCAAGCCTCAGCAGCCTCTACTTACGCTTACTACAAAATGCAGAAGTTTGGATTGAAGTAATCCGAAGGACAACGCCATTTGGAAAGAAGAAGTTTGAAGTTTCATACACCACTGGGCAAGGGTCCTTATTATATTTGTTTCCAGATAGACTTATGTTTTTTTTCAGAAGTTTCTGGAGATGCGAACCGAGAAGCCACCAGGCTTCTGTAACGATTGCTATCAGCTTGCTCTGCAAAGCAAGCACGGCCTGACGAAGCCATGGCCAAGTGCCACACGCACCACCAGTCCCTGCCTGGCATCCGTACGCACACAGAGGGCTACTTGGGGAAAGTTGTGTTATTTCCACCTCAGAATTACGTGGCAGACGTGCAGCTCCTCGCCCCACGGCAGAGCACGCCGAAGCGCAGCCGATCAGCGCTGCTGCCACCCCACCGCCCCACCAGCAGCCCGGCGCCCGCTCCCCGTTTCATTGCGAGGCACGATCGCGTCAGCCCTAACGATGCTCCCGGACACAGCGCCCGGCCCCGCGGGGCGCCCTCCCCAGCCGCCGGTCACCCCTCGACGAGGAGGCCCCGCGGCCTCCCCGCCGCGCCCCGCTCCCCTCCGCTCCGCTGCGCTGCGAGCCCCCAGCGCTCAGGGCGGGGCCGCCACCTCGCCGCCACCTCCCGCTGCCTCCGCAGCCTCCCCCGGCGCAGCCCCGGCTCCAGCCCCGGCTGCAGCCCCCTGCCTGCCCGAGGCTCGCCCCGCCGCCGGCTCCGGCTCAGCCCCAGCCCCGGCCCCGCTCCGCAGCGCGACCCCCGCCGGCCCTCGCCCCGCCGGCCCCGTCCTACCCCCCCCCCCCGGCCGCCATCTCGGGCACTCACCGGCGGCCAGCGCGGCGGCGGCCAGCAGCCAGCCCGCTGCCATTTTCCTCCTGCCACCTCCCCGCGCCCCCATTGTCCGCCCCCGGCCCGCCGGCCCGCCCCCCGCCGCCTCACCGCCCCCTCCCCGCGCCGCCATAGGCTCGCGCCACTGCCACTCGCGCACACCTCCCGCGGCCCCGTCCGCTTCTCCCTCGGGGATTGGTCGGGGGGGCTGTCCGTCAAAGCTCGGCCGCCCTATACGGAGAGGCGCCGCGCGGTCCCGCCCCCCGAGCCTGCTCTGGGCGGCCCCAGCCGCTGAGGGGGCAGCGCGCCCTGCCGCCGGCCCGCACCTGCCCGCGGGGCGGGTCCGTGTGGCACGGCTGAGGGGGTGACGGGGCCAGGCACCCAGGGTTCACTCCGTACCTTCACAGATAAATAAATAAATAAATAAATAAATAAATAAATAAATAAATAAGTAAGTAAATAAGTAAGTAAGTATATGCGTGTGTGTATATATATATATATATATATGGCCCCCTATACAGCTCAACCTTACCCTTTCTAGGCGTTTTTTCCAGACAGCTAATCTGAAGATTTTTTCATTTTATTTTTATTTTTTTTTCAGACCGTGGTGACTGAAATAATGTCTCCTGCTATTTTCAGGAGACAAAGTGAGGTGCTAGAGGAAGCTCGGTTTGTCCTGAGGAGCACGTATTGCATTTCTACGCTGTGACAAGGCCGTTAAGGTCATGACACGTTACTGGTAAGGTTGTGACAGAAAGAACTGGGAGCACTTCCCAGTGTAAACTGCTCAATGTAAGCCTACGAGCTCTGTACTGAAGCAAGAATTACACAATCCCTCAGCACTTAATCTCCACGACAAAATAACCCAATTACAGGTGTAAGTGCTGTAGTCCTCTTTCCCTCTGGCTATGCAACTCCACTCCCTATCCATTGATAACATTGGTATTTATCAAATTTCTCAGTAATTCAGCTTATTTAGCTGGCAACAAACTTTTTTTTTTTGTTTGTTTGTTTGTTTTCTGTCTGCATGTGTGTCTGTGTGCTATCCTTGCAGCTAGGATAGCTATCCATGCAGTAAAGCCAGCATTCAGTTCCACTAGAGAACACTCAGTTCCACTCGTCTTCTTTTGTTCCTGCTTGTGACAAAAGGAAAATCTAAAAAATAAAAATAATAAAAAATGTATAATCGGGAAGAGGTTATATCCATTTTCTCATGGTTGCTTTTTAGGTTATAGATTCAGACCGTTGTTATCCTGCTATTTTGAAGGATGCCCTAGTTTACTTGACAAACTGCAAACAGGACGATCATGAAAAAAGAAAAAAAAAAAAAGAATAACATCTTCTAGGAGAAGGAGTAAATATATTCAGATTGATTTTCTATAACAAATACAAATTTTGTATAACAAATTAAAAATCCACCAGTGGTTTTGAAACAACAGCAGAGTAACAAAATGAGGGACAGAGGGAAGGGGCTCTGTTTGTAGAAGCTAGTATTGGGTGTCTCTCACAGCATTCCTTTTCCTCTGCAAGTTGAAGGCAGGAATGGTGGCTGGCAGCTAGTGCTGCATTTATTTTCTCTGATTAGATAGAAATGTAGTGGTTCGTTCAAGACTCAGGAGCTGGCAGCAGCATGGTAATTACATACGGGACTTGAAAAGTTTCGTAAGTATTTTTCTGTCGTTCAATTATGAACGTTTTGTATCACCCGCTGTGTGAGGATAAGTGTAGAGAAAAAAAAAAAAAAAAAAAAAGCCTGGCGGTGACACCCGTCCCCTCACGGGCACCTCAGGGAGCCCCGGGAAGCCGGACGCGGGAGGGCGCCTGAGGCAGCCGGTCAACGGTCGCCCAACGGCCGCGGCTTCGTGTGGAATGAGGAGAAAAGCTCCCTCATGGCGGCTCGTTGGTCTAGGGGTATGATTCTCGCTTAGGGTGCGAGAGGTCCCGGGTTCAAATCCCGGACGAGCCCGTTTTTTTTTCGCTTTATTTTTCAATCCCTCCGTGCCGTGCCCAGCCGTCGCTTCGTCGGACGGGCGGCGGCAGGCAGCTCGCAACCCGGCGGGGACAAAGCCATTCGCGTCCCCTCGCTGCAGCCGGGACGGGACGAGCGCTACCGCGGCGGGGGCGCCCCTCTCGCCCCCTGCCCGCCTCCTCCCCGCAGCGCTCCGCCGCCGAGCCCGCGGCGGCAGCAAAAGCTGCGGGAGGCGGCAGCAAAACGGAACGGGGCCGTACAGCCCCTTCCTCCGAGGGCTCGTCCGGGATTTGAACCCGGGACCTCTCGCACCCGAAGCGAGAATCATACCCCTAGACCAACGAGCCGCTCTCCATTGCCTCCTCCCCAGCTCCCTACTTCACTCTCTCCGCCCAGCCGCCTGCTTATGGCTCCCCCTACGAGCAGCCGCTGCCGTGACGGGACGGGACGGGCTGAGCCCGGCTCGGCCCGGCTTGGCTCGGTTCTGTTCCCCCCGCACCCTCGCTGCGGAGGCGGCCACTGCGCGGCTCGTTCGCTGCGGGAGGGAGGGGGAAACGCGGAACGTCCCCGCCTGCCCGCGGCCCCCCCCCCCCGAGCTGCTGTGGTTGCAGCCCGCCGGCCGCTGCCGAGCCGTTGGGCGGGCTGCGCCATTACCCGGCGCGGGGGGGGCGGGCCGGCGGACAGGGCATCGCCCCTCGCCCCGCAGCGTGTGGCAGGGGTCGTGGCGGCAGCACAGCCGCTCCTGCCTCAGGGCCGCGCTGTGGTTTAAACGTAGCCCGGTCATAGCCATAAAAACAGCACGGCGCCGGCCTGATACTGCTGTGACCGTCTGCTCGCTCTTGTGCCGCCTTCCTTTCTCCACTTTTTCGTTCATTTCTGCTCTGTTTTCCATTTCTACCCCCACACTTTATAGGACTGGCCAGGAAAGTTTGTAATTTTACTTTCTGTTTCTCTTCACCAAAGGAATTAAAGAAAATATGTCAGCATTTTGTGTTCTCAACCATCAGGGTCCCTGCCGCTGGCATGAAGTATTCCTGCCCGAGGAATTTGGCAGATGGCTCTGGGGCTGAAGAGGTGTCCCCTGGGTCTGAACAGCTGAGCCACGCTGTGGTCTCCACTTCAAAACCTTCTGACTCTGCACCTTGTGGGCAGAGGACAGCGCTGCCACTTCTGGGCCCAAGCCGACATTTCCTGGTGGTAGGGATGGGGCAGGGACATGTCTACAGGTGCCTTCTGCTTTTGCAGTGTCATGGTACTGGCCAAAGAGTTTGTTTGTTTGGTTGGTTTTCTAAAATTGCTCTCATTTGGCTTGTACAGGGGTGAGGTTTGTGTGCAGCCTGTGCTAACAGCACCACTAGAAGCACATGTGGATGCCTTCAGCTGAGAAACGGGTGTCTTTTTTTCCAGCAGCTTGTGAAGCTGTCAAGAATGAAGATGGTGAAGCAACTTCTGGCACAGAAAGTCTACTCTGTCGATTGCCAGAAGCTCGGAAATCTCACAGGAAGGATCACTGTATGTTGCCTTGGGTTTATTTATTTATTTTTGTGCTTCCCCTGAACTACGATGCTGTTGGAGAAAGGCATTTGCTTTCTTCTGCTCCTAGATATCTGCGGAGCTGGGGCAGAGAGTGTGGCAGTCTCCCGTGTTACTGCTCCCCCAGAGGACATCCTCCATTGTGGATTAAGCATGTTGGTTATTGTTGTTCCCCAGAAGTAAAAATACCACAAATTAAATTAAAACTTTAATGTTAAACTGCTACAATGGCAGTGGGAATCCCTCCTCTCTTTTATCTGCTGTTGCCAGCTCTCCTCATCATTCCTCAGGCTCCTACATTCCCCAGGAGGAAACACACAGATTTTGTTTTGTTTTTATTCCACCGTTTATTTCTTCTGTTTCTCCCTCAGATTTCCACTCCCTTGCTAGGGACACATTCTCTAAACAGGCACACAGGTATCGATATATACAGTAAGGCACAATCACTCACATCCAGGTGGGACACTCTGCTGAGAGAGGAAACAGGTTACAGCGAATGATTGCAGCCTGCCCTGGAACACAAGCTTTAACAAACAGATTAAAATAGATCCAAAGGCAACAATACTCCACAACATGGCTCAAGAGGGTGTGGGGGTCATGTTTGCCAACAAGCCTGTTCTACGCGTCAAGGGCAACACTGCTGGCTCTCGATGGGCGCTCTCACCTGGGAAGAAAAAAAGGCAGGGCATAGGGGCTTCTCTTTGTGACTTCAGAGCTGGTGAACAGAAAGGGGATATCCCCTAGACCCATGGTGTTTGTAACAGTGCCATGCTTCAGAGTCCAGCCTAGGAAGGATGTGGGCTGTGTTGTGTAAAATACTTGTGCCTGCTCATAGGGACAGGGACAACACAAGCCTCCAACTCTGCTTAGCTTGACGTTTGCTAGGAGGAGCTTTGTGAACGATGAAGAAGAGCTTCCTGACTCCTGTCTTTGGTCTCTTACAGCTGTGTCTGTACTGCTGAATTCTGTGTGGCTGGCCCCAAACCGTTCACAGCCCTGACAGCTGGCTGACTCCACGGTTCGGCCTTGGCCACTGGTGGCCAGCTGTCCCCAAGGGCAGCCAGCTGCGGAGGGGCTACGCTTAATCACTGCGGACATGAGTCCCACAGCCCTGAGGCACAGCAGCCTTGTATTCAGTAATACAGACACAGCTTCAAGCACTAGTCAGGAAGCCAGGAGGGTAAGGACCTGTTTTCTTTCCCTGATTTCAAGTTCTCTAAGTGCAGAAGCTTTTTTATCTTAGCAAACGTTAGTACCATGACTTAACTAGTACTCCAAGAGTGAACACAAATCCAATACAATGCCAATCTGACGTTCTCATGAGGGACTGGCCATCTGTCCCCCACCCATTCATATACAGACAGGCCACATGATTTGAACCATCTCAGCCATCTAAGGCCTCTTCTTTGATTACATAAAATTAACTGGCTGTTTCTAGTAAGCCAGGATGCTTTCTGTCACAGATGGCATCAAGTGGTTACACACTCAAAGTTTCAAAAGAGAATCAAAAGTTGGGACAGGGCCTCGAAGTAAAACAGACAGACAGACAGGTGGCCTTCCTGAATCAGGACTGGAGCACAGTGCTGGGTAAGAGAACTTGCCCTACTGACCTACACAGCGCATCTTTTCTGTGCCTCAAATCTGTTGGTTGTTACTTTTCACCCGCATTAAAAACACCCCAAAGTTGAAGCACGCAAAAATTGCCTACCATGACTGCGCGTTTCACAGATTAGCCAGCTCAACCCCCACTTTGAAAGCATTTTATGCTTTGCGAACAATTTCCTAAGAGTTTTCCCCGTATTTAGGATTCACATTGTCTGCCATACAGCATGCATGGAGAAAACATACTTTTTCTTTTTTCCTACTGTTAAAACATTATTTACTGAAGTTTGAAAACCCAGAATATTTCAAAAGAAGCTACTGAAAAGGCACCATACACATATGTATGTAGCTGATGAACTTCATCCAAGACCAATGCAGGGGAGAAGAAAATGACATTTTGGAGCTCAGCAGGAATAAGGAAGAGAGGGCCCAGGAGTGGCGGTGGCTGTTGGGTCCGGGACAGGACACATCAGGTCTCTCAGTCCCCAGCAGTCACCTAGGGACATCAGCCAGCACCTCAGTTTTGAATTCTGAAGCAATTGTAAGCCAGTCTCTTGTTCTGACTGTCACAAAGGTGCAAAGCACAGAGCCAGCGAGCAGCCACTCAGCTCTGGGATCAGTCTGGACCTCAGGGGATATCCATATTCTACTTGTCTCCTGCCAAAGGTTTTCCAGTGGCTTCCACCTTGATTGGGTTAGACGGCTCCTGTTCACACATCATCTTCTGTGTCCTGATTGGGTATGTCCTTCTGAGAAGGAAAAAGTAAGGAAATTATGAAAAATAATCACAGTGCTTAGTAAATACAGGGCTGGGGAGTCTTGGGGGTGCTTTGGTAGGTTCCATGCTAGATTGCTTCCTTCAGTCACTCCTTGCCCAACCAAGGAGGTATTTGAAGAGGGGACAGGCAGCCACTGAGATGAACCGAGGTATTTCCTCAGGCCTCTGTGGCTACGGGATCAGTAGCTCGAGAATAAGTGCAAAACTGTATGGAACAAGCCCTGCTTTAGGCAGTGGAAATCCTCTTGTATTTCAAGTGGTGGAGGACTGCAGAGGCTGATCATCAAACTGGTGTGTGTGTAAATGCTATTTTTGCTGTCACAGCTAACAGGCTAAAAACATATATAAAGTGTATGTATCTGTATGCATGTATGTATCCAATGTGTGCATGCACACATATAAATACATATATAGAGAGAGTTTCTTGAGCTAGTATATACATGGTAGAACTAGTATATCACAGAATCACAGAATAGTTTGGGTTGGAAGGGACCTTAAAGATCATCTGATTCCAACCTTGCTGCCATGGGCAGGGACACCTTCCACCAGATTGCCCATCCAACCTGGCCTTCAGCACCTCCAGGGATGGGGCACACGTTTTCTGCTTTCAAACTGCTTTCAAAACAATGGTTGAGCAGGGTGCCTGGTATCAGAGAGCCTCTCCATTTCACTGAAGTCAGAATCATTTGTTTCATCTTTGCCTCTTCTTCATCTCCTCTCTCTGTAACATCAGCCTGGAGGGCTGGTTGTATAAATGCCCTGCCGTAAAGCCTCTGCAGGCCTGAGATTTGATGCTCTTGAGGTGTGGGGAGCAGCAGAAATGTCGGTATGTTCTGCCATGCTTGCCTTTTTCATTAGTAAGTAAAAACCTCTGGTAGTTTAGGAGCCGTCCTCATGCTGACCAGACTTACCTAACGCGTGTCATGGTTACTCTGTGCCCTGGTCCTGCGTGGGGGATGCTGAAGGCTCACTTGCAGTCTCTAAACCCACTGCGTCCTGCTGTGGTTCAGGTGCCAGTGGTGTTTCTTCAGTGTCTGATGTTTTCCGTGTGTCTGTGCTCTCACTGGTCTCTTTCGTTTCGGTTCCTTCTTTCTCCTTGTCTCCCTTTTCCTGTTCACAGGCACTGCATTCCTCCTCTCGTCCCTGGGGACCCTCGCACACCTTCTCCTCCTTGTCTCCAGAGGGAGGCTGGTGTGAGTTCTCCTCCCCTGGGGCACCATGAGACACCTCCTTCTCCTCTGTATCCCCCACATTACTCTTGCAAGGAGTCGTTTCTTCTGCCTGTTTTTCCCCTTTTTCTTCATTTTCTGATCTGCTGGATCCTCTCCTCGATGGGGGCTTCTCATCGGTCCCCATCTGTTTCTTTAGCTCTTTGTTCCCTGTTTCAGCCTCTTCTGTCTTGCCCTTATTCCCAAACACCTCATCCCCGTCTTCTTTAGCACCGTTTTCTGGAGAGGAGATGCTGAGCCCTATATCTTCCCCGTCTCCGTAGTCAGACAGAGATCTTCGGAACCTCCTGGAGGGAGGCCGACGCTTTATTGATCCCCGCGTCCGCACCTTGAAGGCAGAAAAAACAGACATTGAGGCAGTCAAAGAGCAGTACCGGAAAGCAGGAAAGCACAACAGAGGAAAATACCAGGGGAAACTTGATTGCTGCAATGGTTGCCTCATTTTTCCTGTTCACTACTTAGTAGGTTAAGCAGCTTCCTAAAATATACCTCCTTTCCCTCTCTAAACCTGCTGCTGGAGATTGTTGTCCCAGTTTAAACAGTGACTCCTTGTCCAAGTTAGACCCTAAACTAAAGACACTGATTTCATTTTGCAGCTGTTGCTGACATGGGATGTCTCAGAGTCTTCAATTTCTCCAGGTTTGGTGGCTGAGGAAGGAGTCTACACTCAAGATGAGGCTGAAGAATGCCGGTTACAGTTCCTCATGTAGGTGCTGTGCACCCTGTGGAACATCTGGCAAACTGTCCTGCTCTCCATGGCTGCATAAACAGCACCTCAGCCACCTTGACACTTGCTGGCCTGTGGCACCGTCCCCTCTCAGTGCTCCCTGCCCAGCTACCCGCCACTCAATTACTGCTGAGCTGAGGCAACTGAGTGCTTCCACTTCACCCCTGCCCTACAGTCACGGCGCCAGGAAGGCTGCTGCAGCCACTGGCACACAAAATTCTGTGGACAGGTAGGCGGAGAAGAACCACAGAACTACCCCAACCAAACCCAGTGCTTAAATCTCCTCTGTTGCCTACAAATGCGTGCTGTTACAGCAGGACTGAGGGCTAAGGCCTCCTCTTCCTCCTCACCCCCAGGCGATATGCAAGCTTTATCCTGCCATGCTGGAGACCTAGCATACTCCCTACCTTGTTGTAGAACTGCAGCTGAGTGCTTTCGGGGGGTTGATCAAAGCTGACCGGCGTCTCTTTCGCTTCACTCGGCTGCGGCTGAGTGCCCGGGCTGCTGGGGGTGGAGGGAGGGGTGCTGAACGGAGAAACCATGACTTTCAGACCAGGGCTTTTGGGAGATGCTCCCGGCAGCAGAGCAGCTGGGGCAAAAGCCAGGTTGGCCTGCAAAAAAAAAATCCGTCAGTGCTGTGTGTGACACCGGTGTGTAATACATGCGTTAACCACGCGGAGGAACCCTTGCTCTCGCTACGGGAGCTACCGCATCTCAGCTGTCCTGACCCACATACCTCCCGGTTATGGGTCTCTCCTGGTGACACTGTCAACAAACAAGTCCGGGCAGAGGAGTTAGGACTGGACATTTGCCCTTCCCCAACAGCTGGATCTCAGGACGAGTTCTTTTGTCATCCTGAGGTCTTTGGGGATTTTCCAGTGACCCAGCCAAGCCAGTATAGCCTGCAGTGGCTGAGCCAGGGTATGAACGAGCAGCCAGGAATCACCTTGAGATTTAAAGCATCCCGGCTTGTGCCCAAGCAGACCTCACATTTTCAAGCCTGGTTTGCAGGTCTTCTGAATGATCCGTACAGCCATGAGGAGTGAGAAGACCATGGAAGGAAACAAGTTTGTGATTAACTGTGGCAAGGCGCTCTGTGCTAGCCTGTCATTAAGCTCTCTAGACAAATGTCCTTGGGTGCATTAACAGGGACACTGCTATGAATAGGCTTACGTTGTGTCAGGGTGCCCAGGAAGCATTATGCTCAGAAGTCACACACGCTGCCAGGAGAGGCAGCTGGCAGTGGTGGGGCACCACATCTATGGGCTATCAAGTGCTGAGCTGTCCTCAGTGGCATGAATCAGGCGCTACTGAGTCACACAAAGGGCAAGAAGCACGGGGTGTGCTTGTGCATAACATGGGGAATCGAGACAAGGAAAGCACAGAGCTTCGAGGCACAGGTAGGGGAAAGCCAGAGCCCCTGTGGCTGCTCCCCCACTCCCAGGATTTTAGCTGCCTGTGCGCCAGGTCAGTTCCCCAAGATGTTGAAGTGACCAGTTTAAACTGCTGTGGAGAAAGAGCTGGAGGAAGCTTCCCTTACCTTCACTTGTGAGCTGCATTTAAACTGAGGCTGCCGCCCTTGCTCTCTGAGCTGCGCTGCTGCCATGCCCACACCCGGCCACGTGCACCGCAGCCTGCACTGACCTGCCAGTGGCTGTGCCTGAGGATGGCTGGATTGTTTCTGACAGTCACTACTATTTCCAGACCTGCTCTGCTCCCTTGTTTGTGAGTGGTGGGACTGGGCCCTAGTTGGTGAGGCTGCTGCCCTGCCTACCTAACCGTCACCCTTGGCTCCTGGGTCTCCTTCCTTTGTGGCTGCCCAGCAAGGGAAGTAGCCAAGGTAAATGCCAAGCAGTCTGGATTTGCTGGAGTAGCCATGTGGACTCTCACAGGACTTACCTGCAGCTTTTCAATCATGGGGGAGCTTTTCACCTTGACCTTGGGAATGGGGCAAGCATTTGGAGATGGCTTCTGCAAAACAAAATGAAACATGAAAATGGTCACAGCAGGTGGGAAGTAGTAGAAGAAGGTGGAAAAAAGTAGGTGGAAAAAAAAGGAAACACAACTAAGGCACAAAACTTAAGAAGAGATGAGTGGCAAGCGTTCGTAGGGGAGCAAATGAAGCCTCATATAGGCTCTTCACACAGAAGTTTGCCCTCGTCTTTCCTAACCATTCTCCCCTTTTATTTTCTAGACACACTAGGGCTCTACATATAGGTATCCTGCTTTTCAGAAAAAAGGGAGCTTTCTGGCTGAAGTATCCGAGTTAGGTGGTGTGCTATGGCTATGCTGCTGTGGTGCTTTCAGTTTTATTTAAAGACTAGACAGATTAAAATTCTGCCTCTCTGGTAAATGTTACAAACTTTTTGTGGTGGTAAAGACTTTCTGCTTCCGTTTCACTGACAGAGTTAAAGGGTATCCAATTACTCTGGACAGGAAAAATCTAAGTGGCCAGAAAGGCAGAGCTATGAAAGGCTGAATACGGCATGAGAAATGGAGAGTATTGCTTTGAGAGATATATTGTTCTTTTCAGATCCAAAGGAAAATGAAGGAGTCTAAGACTTCAAAGCCTGTGCTCCTTTGACATGGAGACAAGAGCCTGCAGCTATCAGAAAATAAGGACCAAGAATCATTCCCTTGTTAAGGGCAGGTGATGGTGTGAAATTTGGTGGCTAAGCCTCATACCTTGAAACACAGAATGACTGAAATGACTGCAAAGGGTCTGAGCATAAACCCCGGGGATTAGCAGCAAGCTTCTTGGGACCCACTCATTCAAGATTGCTGTATGCATGACACCTCAAGACAATATTCTGCAGGCATTGCTGAAAAAAATCTTATTCACTTTAGATGAATGACTCCTTTTTTATGGGACCAGAACTATAACACCACTACATTCCAACCTCTAGTGTTCATCTGATGGCAGAAACCAGACTAGAAGCCCCCTGTGCTAAGTGCTGTTCAAAGCTAATAAACGCTAGCAGTTCCTGCTGTAAAATGCATGAAAGGTGGCAACTGGGTGGATCCATCAGTGCTGTAAGGATAAAAACAGAAGCAGTAGAAATGTGATGTATATCTCTGCTACAGGAGTAAGAAGCAGCATGCATCTGGCTGAGTCAGAACCTGTGGGAAAGCTTGATGCTGAACAACTGCCCGATGTCTGTGCTACCTGCGAGCTCGTCTCCCAGTAGAGAGCAGGCTGCAGAGAAGAGAGACTTTGTCCCCCTGCTGAATCAATACTTACTTGCTCGTTGTTGAGGCTTGTCTCGGTTTTGTTGGAGTACAGTGGAAGGGAGCATGGTGGTTTCCTCCGAGTTGGCTTATGTGGTGGTACCTAAGAGAAGAAAACAACTGACTTAGTGGCAGGAAAATTAGTTTTTTTTTTAAAAGGAAGTGAAATTCAAGCACTGAAGCTCATGCTCTGTAAGTGACCTGTTTGGATGGCAGGGCCCAGATTACCTCAAGGAAACATCTAAAGGCACCACGTGACATTAACACGGGCATGTGTCCAGCATGATAGCTGTGTTCACAGCATCTTAAGCCCAATCCTAGTGTTAGAGAAGTATTCTGTATCTCTTTCCACAGCATGAACCACAGGACTGCAGGCTTTGTGCACAGGATACTCTTCTGAACTGTAGAGGGTGGGGAAGTCTTCCCAGAAACTTCACCTTCAAAGCACCCTGCTGGAAACCCCCTCACGCTGGAACAGCTTGGCATTGTTCTCTTTCCTGTCTTATTACCGAGACTTGTTTTTAATGCATCTCGGCTTCCTACCTGGTCCATGACCATTCTGTTCCTAGTCTGACATAAGTGCAAAAAGGGGAATTTTGACTTTTCCAGCATGCCCTACAGCCACGTTTATTCTCTCTAATGAAGACAAGCAGCTCACAGAGACAAGGTGTCAGCTGCAATATTTCACTAAAGAAACAGATTCTCCAGGGCAGAAGGAACAAAGCAACTAAACTGCAGGGACACTGGTTCCTTCTGAATGTCCTTGGGCTCCCAGAAGTACAGAGATACCACTAGGAGGGGACATGTAGCACAGCACCTGTACAGTTGCTTCTTCATAACTATTACCTTGGTCTTGAAGACGAGGTGTCTCTGTTTTATTATGCCATGTTTGTAGACTCCTGCCAAGCTGCTAACACACTTTTTATTTGTTATCATACATTTTTGGATAATATTGTGGATATCAAGGAACATGATATGTGGATAATTTTGTTACCTTCTAACAGGCAGGCGCATGAAAAAAAAAAAACGAATTATGGCATCTGCCCTTTAGAGTTGACTGTTTTGGGGGACCTGCAGAGTTGATTTCACTGAACATCTGGTGGTGCTACACCCAGCTACGGCAATGTTCCATCTCTAAGTAGCCAAAAGCAGCCCTGCCCTTCCCCTTACATCACATGAGGAAGCAGTAATATCGTGTTTTATTGAAACCCTGCCATTTTGCAACCATGCAATGTTGCGTTGTGCCACAGTAATGTGTCAGAGGTTCCCCTTTGCTGGCACGGGTCAAGCAAGGGTTAAGGACCATCCAGGCAGCCATTAATCTGAGGCCAGTCTGAGAAAGCATGTGGGGAAGTGACAGATGGCTTGGAGAGAAAAGACAGGAAACTTTGTCCTCCTCAGTCCCTGGAGAAAATGAGTTTTTCCCCCACTGTGAGGCCCCTCCACCCTGCCTGGGCTTGGGAACAGCAGAGGTCTGTAGATAACACAAGAGAGGTCTGGGAAACTTGCTGCCTTCTAAAGAGTGAGGGACTTGGTGCAATTAAATCCCATACCTTAAAAAGAGGAAATGACTGTAACGGGATGGATGGAGCAGTGCACTGGTGACTGGAGGGAAGAAGAAAATAGTGCTTGGGAAGAGATGGCTACCCCCTATGGCCCAGCTACGCGAGTGTTGACCTCTGATAAGCTGTGGCATGCCAGCCCTGCAGGACAGAGGTCACCACTGCATCCAGCCAAGGACAGGATGGGTCACAGGGAGGATCTCCTTAGGCCCATCCTGGGACAATACTGAAATCAGCTGAGCAACAAAAGGAAACAGCTCGGTCTTAAAGGGGTTTTAAACCTATTGGCTGCAGAGGGCTGTCAGTAAGCATTTATGCTTCTAAAAAAGTGTGTAGTGATACAGGGGACTCTCCTAAAATGTCAGCATCCATTCATAAACACTTTGACTTTCCTGTCTTCCTAAGAGGTATTCAAGTGTTTCGCTTATCTGGTGAAAGACAGCTTGGGAGTTGGATGCTTGGCATAGTGGACTTTCAGTAAAATGAAGCTTTGGCATAACAGAGATAGGCAGAGAATCTGAAATGTTGTCGTGCAAAGAGGCAGCCAGAGCAAGGAAGGAGACAGCTTTCTGTCTCAGAACAGTACAGAGGGAGATACCTGAAGGAAACCTTCTCCTTTTGTGAACAAAGGGCTGGTGACCTGCCACTGGCTTCTATACTGTGTGTTTGCCTTCTTTTGCCATGGTTCAAAATTAGCTATTTTATTTCTTCATTGCTGCCTCCTGCCCACAAAAGCCAGCCCAGATAGCACATGCCTCGCTGTCTGCTACTGTTAGGGATGTGTGCGTATCCTACCTGGCTTTGCAGCATCTCTGTTACAGTGTGGACATATAGCTCTACCAATATATTCATGCACAAGTCAGCAATGCATGGAAGATACCGCCACAGCTTGCATTGCACTACAAGACAAAGCTTTGGAGGGGGTTCAAAATCAATGTGGATTTATGCTTAGGTCACTGAGGCTCTCACTTCTATAGGCAGAGGCAAGTGCCTCATTTCCCACTGCATTACCTGCTTGTGGCTGCAGAGCTCCTTACCTCTTTTCCAGTGATACTGGCTGCTTGCTCTTTGAATTTCCCTGCTAGCTGAGCCACTGAGGGTGATGCTGATGTGTCCACCTCTGAATTGGTCTCTGTTGGCCTGTTCTGACAAATCAAGAACAATATGTTATGAGCAAAGGCTGGGAAAAGCAAGCGGGATTGAGAGGAGCCTGCATATGTGTTACAAAGTTCAAGAGTAAGCAAGGACTTAAAGCAGAGTTTCTCACATCTGGCATCAATCACCCAGTCTGAGAGCAAAAGGTTTGGGAATCCAGGACACAGCAGCATGTATAAATATCCAAGGTGGTCAGTAGAATCACAGAAAACTAGTAATTCATGCAGCACCCTTCATCTCAGGCTGAAAGTCCCACACAGTATTTTTCACTGGAAGTAGACTAAGTATTCCGGGCCAAGTGCCTGTTCTCTGTCTTTGCCTAGCAGTGAACAGATGGGAATTGGGCAATAAATGGCATCCCCACGCACCTTCCCAGCCCTCCCACCTCTTTTTGCTGCCCCAGTGACAAGTGCCTTTCCTTTTGCAGTGGTTCTGCTGGGAGAGGCCATTCCCTGTCCTCGCAGCAAGTCAGCATCTGCCTGGGGATGTCCCTGTGCTGCTCTGCTTTTTATGGCAGCGAAATACTCAGGCGGGTGGGCGGGAGGAAGGAAATACCAGGGCTGAGAGAAGCTTCCCCTCTCCTGGGCCAAGAGCAGGCTGAGAAGTGGGAGGGTTGCTGGAGACTGGATGGTGCAGCTCTTCCCACAGCACACAGCCCTGCTCATCCCACATTTACCATGCTTTCTTTGCTATGTCTGTATCAGGCAAGGGAAATCCAAAGCCTAGAAATCAAGGCTGATGAAAGGAAATCTTTGTTCTTTATCTTGAGTATCTGGTGCAGTGAAAACTAAACCAGAGGAACTGTGAATATCTAACCAACAATCCCTGTTTTGTTGGAGACTGAGACCTCAGAACAACAAAGCAGGCTACGAACCATCAGGAAGGAGCCTCACACCTCCCCTCCCTGTGCCACCACCATTAACGCACAACCGGCACCACACTTCTCGTGTGACTTGTTGTTCACTGACTCCCCCAAGTCAATGTTCGCTATTCCCTATTTCCAGGACCCTGACTTCATCTCCCCCCTTAAAAACTTCCCGTACGCTTCTGACCAGCTTTCCTGCATCCATCCACAAAGCTATATCGAGCTGCCTCTTCCAGTAACTTCTGGCACCTCTCTTCTGGCTCCCCCCAGTTCTTCTCAGCCTTCATTACAGCAATTAGAGGCAGGGGAAGTGGCAGATATGGGGAAGGGAAGAAACAGTGAAGCAGATCAGCAGGGCAACTTGCAGAACACGAAAAATGACGGCTGAGCAGTTTCCAGCTGCAGGCGAGCTCCACACTGGGCAGGAAGGGCTGGCTGGAAGTAGGAGGGAAAGAAGGATGAAGCTGGGGAAAGGAGGATGAGTCTGGGGGCTCGACTCAGCATGCCACAGCCCAGGATACTTGGGGACAGCAGAGCTGATGCCTGAAGCAGGGATTTGGTTAAGGCTGAGGAGCTGCAGGTGCCCAGTGTCTGTGTGGAGGGGTTGCCTCCCCGGTAGACCCTTTCGCTCTGCTATCTGCGCTTCCTCCACAGCCCTCTGCCTTTACCCAGAAAAGGCAGGGCATTTCCTCTTGGCCTCCCTGACCTCTTGTCTTGGGGTTGCCATGTGGTTGTTCTCCTTCTGTTTTAGGATCTCCAGTCTGCAAACGCGGCTCCCGTTCTCCAGATTGGATCAAAGCTGTAAAGCTGGAGTCATTCCACGCATTTCTTCTGCTGGTAGCAGGCACTGCAGCGTGGCTCTCGAGAGCATGGAGCCCGCGTCCGGCACACAGGAAGCAGCGAGCATGCCTTTCTAAGATTAGAATGAGTGGCCCACGGGCTGTGTGCTCCCCGAACTGCCAGCTGCAGGCTCTCCGATTACGCCATGCCTTTAGCCACAGGAAAAGTCCTTTCTCAGATCCTTGCTGGCAATTGCACTGCCATCCTGCATCCAGCTTTTTCTACTCTTTTTTTTTTTTTTTTTTTTTTTTCCTCCATTCCTGGTGATTTTCCCCCTTTTGGTGACATAACCCACTGACTTTCTGGACGATGAAGAGGAACAGCTCTGCTCTTGTTTGGCAAAATTACTCAGGCCTGAAATTCACACCTTTACCAGCCAGCTGCAGGCTCTTTTAGCTTTCAGAAATGTGGTCAGCCTGCGTGGGCTAAAAACGGTGAGCTAGGGTATGAGACTTACCCCGTCAGTAATTTGGTGACTGCTACTCTGAGGTCGTTCACTCTCCAGTAAAAACAAGTGGCTAAGCACTGCACGTTCTGAAAGATGTCAGACAAAGCAGCAAAACAGGAATTCACTTGTACCATCAATGTAAGCATGACACTGCTTGCAAATGAGGAAGTGCAACCAACAAGTTCTCTGTAAGGGGTTTCGCTTTCCTCTTCCAAATAAGTATATAAATTTGAGTAAATTTAAAAAGTTGTGGGTTTTTTTTTCAGTCTAACATTTCTTCATCTGCTTTTAAAACTGAACCTGTTACAGTTCACCTGAATTGCACGGGCAGTTTAATATGCCAGAAGATGCTGGGGCTAGAGAAGGAGCAAGGGAGAAAAGAGGTGTAGAGACTGCAGAGATTCCCTGTGCATAATGTTTGGGTGCTCACAAGGAGCTGGATTTCCCTGGATTTCAGCTACAGGTAGGGAGTATCACTACAGACAATGAGTTTCTTATGAAATCAGAACTGCAAAGAGTCCCGGGGAAAACTGGAAAGCTAGAAGAGGCTGAAGAGAAAAGGATGAATTTGAATGTCCTGCTGGGTGTGGTGCAAAACTGGCTCCCACAAGCCCTCAGCCAGCAGTTTTGGTCACGACCCAGCACCCTGCAGTCGAAAACTGTCATAACCCCATGTCACAGGACTGGTACCCCAGCAGTTTTGTCAAGGGCTGTAATATGCTACTGGCATTGCTAGTCACAAAGGGTACCGGGGGGGTCGGAAGCAGACATCGGGAGAGCTCAGGTTTGGATTTGTGCATCTCCTCTGCCTGATGAAAAGAGCAAAGGCCTGTTAGCTGCTGTACAGCAGGGCGTTTAGGCTCACGCAGCACCTAAATACTGGCTGAGTAACAGCAGAGATTCGTACTGCCCTGCTCTCCTCTCCCCCACGCATCCTCTGCCATGCCTGCTTTTGCAGTCACAACACCTTGCCTGCACGGAGTGCCGTGTATCTGCAGGTACAGGTGCCCTTAGCAGCACTTTGCAAGGTCTGAGTGTTTCGTGGCTAAGAAACCAGTGTCTGCTGCATGATTGTTTGTACCAGTCCTGTGCACTTTCCACCCTTGTTTTCACGCAGCTGCAACTAGATATGGTTTTGAGGTCAAGCCCTGACCTCTGCATCCCTCCCCTGCCTTGAAGATCTTCACAGGATCCATTCCTTGCAGTCTGTCCTCACACCAGGCCGTCATGCCAGCTGTTTTCCTGTACCCTGTGCTCGCACGAGCTCTGCACAGATCCTTTGTGACTCTTACGGGGTTTTTCATTGCTGCACCATCTACCCAACAGAAAGCAAAAGTGGCAAAAATAATGACAAATGCAGGGGCAGACACCACAAGGCAGAAGAGGCTCAGGGCTAGTGCCTTGCTCTCAGAAACAAGATCCAGAAATAGTGACCCTCAGCAGCCAGCTCTCTGCACCGCACCATGAGAAAAGAGTGGTCAGTAAGCTAGCTGCAAAGAAGAGCGGGTCAGTGCCTTTGGGGTGCAGTTTCATAAAATCCTGGTTCTGGCAGGGAGCTTATGTTTCTGACTGCTCTCTCTCCCTTGACCTTTCCTTCCCCCTCCCTTGTGCCAGCGTGAGTTTGTGGGGCTGTGTTGTAAACCAGATCACTGAAATGATCTGGGCTAAAAATACCTCCCTTAACTCTTTACAAGGTTATTTTTAACCCTGGTCATCTCAGTAACCAAATTGGCAGCACGGTCCGACAAGTGCCTGCACTTCCATCGCAGGAGGGAGCGGAGGGACAGCAGGAGCAGACCGCAGCCGAGGGCCCAGACCTTCCTGCTGACCACCAGAGCCTGAGGAAGAGCCGTCCCTGTGTGTCCTGCTCACAGGCCTCATATGACAGAAAAATCATTTTTTTTGCACACCTCTGAACGATTTGGGAGAAGTTTTGACCAAGCACTCACAAAAGCCCTACAAATACCATGGGGGTGATCCCCAGAAGCCCCGTTTCAGTGAGGAGCTCCTGTGTGTGGCTCTGCCCCACTCACGCTTTGCTGACAAAGTGCTGACACAATTTTTGCTTTCTCTCAGTGAATTTTCTTCACACCCTCCCACTCACTTCTTAAGCGTGTACCTGGTTTTAGGAGGCGTGCTTTTGTCAGTTCAGCACTGAGGGTGTATTTTGAACTTCTCTCTAGCCACGGTGCTGTTTTCAGCAGCTCCCGTCCTCGTCCTCCCTCAGCTGTGCTGATGAAATTGCTTGCAGGCCTGTGCCCTGAACCAGGCTGCAGATGTAATTCAGAATAAAAATCACCCAGCTAAAAATAAAAAGGAAGGTTTAAAACCAATGAGAATTAAACACATTCAGGACAGTTTCCTGATCTGCTCAACCACGCCGTCCCAGAGAGCAGCGCTGGCACAGCAGAGGGGGCGAGGTGGGCACCAGGAGAGCTGATGCCTGTGGTGTGGCACGAGGAGGAGCAGCTCCACACCTACAGTACCTGCTCCGCTGAGGAAAGGCCAGGGGAGGCACCTGGGGGAAGGAAACTACTTCAGTCTGCGCTCCTGCCAAAATAAACATCACCACGCTCTGCCTGGGGTCCAGAGAGAAACACTGGGAAGCAATGCCTTGGTTTCCTTTGAAATTAAAGGGAATTCAGGAGGGAGCTGGCCCGGCAAAGCAGCACTCCCAAGGCAGGCTCGTGCTTTCTGCCCACAGCTTTCCCAGACACCGCGTGTACCCTTCTCGTTTTTCAGTAAGGTAGCTGCAGGACTGAAGGAGCCAGCCGGCCACAGAGCTTGTTTGCATGGGAAAGCTTACACCTCGTGCCCTGGGGGATCTAGCTCAGCTTGCCCAGGGAGCAACGCAGCCCTCATCTGATAGAGGGGCCTGTTTTCAGCGTAACTGAACTCCTTCACAACCCGCTGGTCTCAAGAGACACATTCTCAAACGTCTCAGGTACCTGTTTCTGACACAGAAAGCGACATTTGGGGCATGCTGTGCTGTGCCGGGGCAGGGGGTGTGCCCTCTCATGGGGCTCCCCTGGGGGTGGGAGTGTGTGGGTGCTGCAGCTTCCCCCCTGGAAGGACTCCCCTGTGCAGGTTGATGGATTGCAGATGTGCTGCTTGCTTGCACATCAAGCATCTGAGAAGTGGTGACAGCACCAGCGCCTCCCATGCTGCCCCAGCGGCTTGGGGTGTCCGTATCTATGGGTATGAGCTAATCCCTTCTCCAAAGAGGCCAACCTACCAAACCATCCTTTTCTACACCTAGGTTCATTTATTGTTCAAGGAAGAGAATACAAAGAAACCCGGAACGGCTCCTGGGTGTGCATCTTAGCCCTACAGCAGAAAATAATGCAGAACGGGCAAGTTTGGGTCCACCTGGGCAAACATGGCACTCTTTTCATTTTTTTCAATGGCAGTAACTAGGTAATTGAATTTTTATTTTCAACCTCTTCTTACAGGCACGAGCTATTTTCTCTCTCATGTAAGTGCAGATCAGATTAGACAGACAGCTTGTAAGGAACTCCCCTTTAAATGAACTAAGGAAAGCTCAGAAATAGTTTTTAATTACAACTCAACCCAAATTACCTATAGAAAAATCTCCCTAACATGTAGTTTGTAGTTTCATTTAAAGCCATCTCCCTGCGTATCCCATTTAGATGAATCCCAGGTTTTACCCTCACGCCAACATAATTTGACCTGATTGTTTATCTAGGTCCATGTGAGCACATCAGTGGCATCGAGATTATACTGAAAGGGGAACATTGTTAGGACTGCAAAAGGGGAAATAAGTTAGAAGGGCAGGTTCAGAACACAAACTCCCCCAAAGGAGCAAACTGAAAGGCAAGAGGGTGGGAAAATAACCAAGTCATAGTGTGAGGAAATGAGCAGCAAAAATTGTTAGAGTCCACACACAATCAGAGCCTGTTAATTCTTCTCGTGATCCGTGAAAGTATCACTGAGGCCTGAGCGTAGATTACCCAGGAAGTGGGAGGGCTCACACTTGCGTGGCCCATTTTTTACATCCCTAGAAGGAAATCTCACAGCGACTGTTCCGACTGGAGCTCAGCAGTATACCGGGCCCCTGGCTCAAGAAGCAACACATCCCAAGATGTAAGCCTTGAGTAAACAAGCCTCTTCTTGCTACACTGACCCCTCTACATCCCAGAGAAGCATCTTTCTTCCCGTCTCTCTCTTTACCCTTCTTCACAAATTATTCTCATTGGAGACCTTCCAGCTCTCTGTTTCAGGAGGGATTTATGTGGTTTATTTATTCACTTGGCCTCTTATCTGGCAATGTTGCTGCTCCTTGTCTGGTCATGGTAAATTTTAACTATTGGCAGAAGCCCCAGCTAGAAGTGGCTGCAGCTGTGCTTGCTATGATACCTTGGAGCCAGTCCTGTCCATCACTGTGTTGGCGTGGCCTTGTAGCACCCTGGGATTCGGGTTCAAGGCTCCTACCTGCACTTCCTACTATTCATTACAGAACAGGAACGACAGTGACTGTGCTGTGCTCCACCACAGCAAAAGTTTCTGTGAGCCACATCTCTGCAGGCTTGGCAGACCAGAGCTTTATTGCAGTTACTTTCCAAGTGAGGACAGGACCTGAATACCTTGCAGATCAGTCAGGTATATTCTCTGGGCTGGAAAAGAAATAGTAATTTTCTACTGCTCTCCTTCTGTTGTGTTTTCTTCGATCAGCCTTTATCAGAAGCTAAACACCCCCATTTCACCAATGTCAGGTCTCAGTTTAATTTCTTCCTTTTTGTAACTTTTTCAGTGGAGAGCAAGCTTTTTGTCTGAGTTCAAACCACTGCAGCCTATCTATCAAAATCTGCAAATAAGTTAGCCACAAGAATAACTCCCAGGGGTACAACAACCCTCCTCAGAAATGGTATTCAGGTCAGCACTTAACCAGCCACAGATGAATTAATGCAGGTTGAGTGCGCGCCTGAACTCAACTGCAAGGACGTTACACGGCCATAACGATGGCGAAAAAGAGGAAGGAGCTCTGACTGTAATGCAGAGCAGTATGAGGAATAGGGACTTCAAAGAGGCCTTGCATGTTTGTTTTTAGGGGAAAGGGCAGGAAAATCTTACTTTACATAAAACATGTAATAATATGTAAAATTTTCCTTTGTTTGTGAAGAGTTTACCCTAGGAAAACATTTTTTCTCAAGACTTACAGTGGTCTGGTCTTGATTTTCTCCTCTGAGAGTTCCCTCGTGAACTGCTGCCATCTTGGCACTCAGGGTCAGGCACTGCACAAGGGCAACGGGAGGATGTTTCAACTCAGGAGTGACGAGCAGCCTTCCTCCAGAAGACAGCAAGCAGCTCCCAAATACAGTGCAGATGTTTCAGAACTACAGGGACTCAGATCTACCAGATTTAAAGGGTCACATAAGCAAGGCTAGGGAACTGGGTTGGGGTGGGAGATACCTGTAGACAGAAAATAGTAAAGGGGAAAATGCTTTTGAAAGGAAGAGGCAAGTATAACTTTTCCATTATAATGTAACAAAACGGTTGATGTACTTGCACCTTACTTACTAAAAGTAGACGGGAAACTCCTGCTGGTTATCCTTTTTCAGGGGATTGAGCTCTACCTATGCCTACACATAAAAGGGCCTGGATAAATAGCACAGTGGTTGGACTGTGGTTTTTCTGAAGAAAGCATTGTTGCTTGTTTGGATCAGAAGCTTGCTCAGGGTCCTTCTCTGGTACTTTCCTCTCAGTATTGGAATTGCCTTAAGATTCTGAACATCAAAATAAATGGTTATCATGAATAAAAATAATAATAATAAAAAAAACACCACTCTAATTGCACTGGGCAGCAGACACCACTAAGTAGGTGGCTGGAGTTAGGTGGTGTGGTGTGCCTGACATGTAAGTGAGGAGCTGTGTCCTTTGCAACAGAATTGTAGGAAACATCTGTAGCCACCAGGAAATTAGAAGTGGCAAAAAGAGTGTCTGCTTTCCATTTCAGAGAGTGCATGAAATGAAAACAAAATGAAAATAAAATGAGATAAGGGTCATTTTAACCTACCCTCTGAGAAGTCCTTCCCTTTGCTATTGATGCAGTCCTCCTAGCAGAGTGGGTGCAATGCTAACATTACGTAGTGCTGGTTTTCATGGTTGCTGGAAGGTCAGTAACAATGCCAGCTTTTGCTACCTTTCCCAAAAAGCGCCTCTTCTCATCAGTGTAAGCACATGAAGTCTCAGTTTAACTTGATTAGGTGGGACTTCTGGGCTCTCCTCACAGCCTCAGGGAGCCAAAGTGAAGAAAGCAGCCTCCCATTTGCCTATGTGGACTTCGTTAGTGCCATGTCCTAATATCAACAGTCTGGTCTGGAAAGGTCCTTATATAGGAAGAGCATGCCAGCCACCTTGTACTAGTCTTTGGCTGGTGTTGGAAATTTCTGAGGCTGGATTTATGACAAGTTGTTCTTTTCTTTGTGCCACGTTATGTAATTCTCAGGAGTGCCTGGCCTGGCCTCTGCTTTCTAAACAGTGCCAGGTGATATTAGCAAAACCAGCAAGTACCCCTGCGAAAGATACAGGTTAGACCTCGAGTCTCTCTGTTAGTAATGACAGTATTTAGAAATTGCGTAGTGCCTACACGTTCCCAACACAGTACAAGTCATCCTGCTACCACAGCCTCATGTCAAACCTTCACGGGTAGGAGCCTCCGCTGAGAGGGCAACATGCTGGTTGGTGCTTTTGTATTCGTACCTAAGAACAGCCGCATACAGCACGGAGACCGTCATGAGGGAGGTCAGGGTTTTATCTGCCAGGAGAGCACTCGGACCAGTAGGACGTAGGTGCGTGCTTCCTGCTGCCCCAGAGAACCACGGATTCTTTGCTGCATGTTGGCACAGCTTGAACAGGCAGTGTGGCGAGTGCTTGCCCTAGTCCTGCCCTAAGCACTGGGTTAAAAATCATCTCTTGCTAGACAGACCAAAGAGTCCCTAGCCTGCACCTCTTGAGAACAGAACCGAGCCCAGGCTGTCCACTTCCTGAGCAAGTATCTTATCACGTCTGTCAGAGGCTGCCAAGAAGGGTTGATCAAGTGCCATCACTACCAAAAGAGGCAGTGATCTGCAGCACCTGGTCTCTGCCAGGCTGTGCAGGGGCCAGCAAGTACGTCAGCCTGTCCCCTGTAGAGCCCGGAGCAGCTCTTGGCTCTGCCCTGTATAAGATGAGACATCTGGCTGGCCAGCCAAGACGCGCTGCTCAGGGAAGGAGGTGGCAGACCATTTGAAAAGTAAATTTATTATTTTCTGTGTATGTGGAGTCTTTGGGGACTCCCTGACTGAGGCAACTGCAGAAACCTCCTGCAGCATGTGAGTGTCACCGTTTCCTTTCCTGTGAGAAGCGTGTTTTGTGAGATGCCTGATCCTGTTTGTGTGCATCGTGCTGAGAGTGTTCTCCTGAGGAAAGGAAGTGGACAGGAAAGATGAGGATGTGGAGCAGGGGAGATGTAACAGGGAAATGCCTAATTTCTAATGAAATTAGAAATGACCAGGTCAGAGGGGCAGCTCCAGGCTTGTACAGGAGCAGAACTGCAGGCACTGGCTGATTTCTGTGTCAAGCAGGCAAATGCCTTGTGAAGCAAAGGAGCCAGCAGAGTCAGGCAATGATTGCAAGGTTTTTTTTCCAGGCCAAAGACATGGATTACAGTGTTTCAGTTCTGCACAAACCGTATTGTTGATCCTGCACAGAACAACTTGCCCTCAGCTGCTCAAAACCCAGGACAGAACTTTTCTCCAGGGCTGCAGGAGTTCCACCCTGACACTCGGTCCTCCGTGGCACGCTGGTTCTCCACAACACATGCATCTGGGGGTGACTGCACAGTGTGAAGCAGAGCAGTCTAAGGTTTCCTATAGCAAGGGATCAGAGCCCCACAGTCACACAGTGTTGCACAACTTCTCGTGATGGTATCAAACTGGATGCACTCATCTGATGCTGTGCTCACGCCAAGGGAATCATTAGCTCAGACACAGCATGAACATGTCCCCAGATCAGGTATTTGCATTTCACCTCTGTATCCGTGGGATGTTGCCATCCAGATTTTGTGTGATAAAGCGTACTTTGTGCACACATGCATTGAGATGCCTTGTTGACATAAAACTCCTCCTAAGCAAGTCCTGAGAAAGTCCAGCACCTACAAAGGGCTGATACCCTCCCAGAAAACCATCTTTTTAATGGAATTTAAGCCTAGTTTCTAACTGAACTTTTTTGTTTGTTTGTTTGTTTTTAAAAAAAAGTAATATGCAGCAAGACTGTAAGGGTGTCTTAAGGACATTTTGCTAGACACCAGATTTCATGTCCTGGTCACGTGCATCCCTTGTTTTTATTGGTCTGTTTGTTGAGCTTACCCTTCCTGTCTGTAGCAGCACAGCTGTACTATAACAATTGTCTGCATGCACAGTCAACAAGTGGAGTCAGACTATGGTTTCCCTAGACCTTTAAGTCAACAATGTAAGAGGAAGGAGAAGCTCAAAGAAGATGTTGAAAGTAGTAAAAATGAAACAGTTGAAATGAGATTCAGAAGAGAGAACATGCGAGAATAAGGGGTCAGAAGATACTGAAAGGGCAAGACGACTCCTAATGCAGTGGGCACACAGGAGACCCAGATGAGAGGTAGGAAGGTATAATAACAGGTATTATTATACTGTTAAGTATTATTATTATACTGTTAAGTATCAGTGAGTGACTGCAGAGGGGAGAAGCACTGCCACGTACAGTAAGAAGGGACTGTAATCATCAAGATCACTAGATTTTTAAAGACCACATTTGCTTGTGGACAATGAAGAGGAAAGGGTAGAAGGACTAGGTGGAGAGGCAAAGATCTACACTGCCAACAAGGCCAGATGCCTACTGACAAGGTGACTGAGAAAGCAAGGCAAGCACACAAGCCTCATTAAGGTATCGAATCCATTCAAGGAGAAATGGGCTCAGCCTTTCCTGTAAAAGGTCCATGCTTTTATAATTGCCTCATTACCAGCCCAACACAGCTGCTTGCATGCAGGCCAAGCAGCCAACATGGAAATAATTTCAGGCAGCAGGAAAAGGATTGTGGATAAAGTTGATATCTGGCTAAATCCAGTCATACTAAGCCACGCGAGTGGAGAAACAATGAAAAGCACAGCGGCTCCGTCCATACACGCAGTACCACAGCCTTTCTCTGGAGCAGCCCCGTGCAAGAGGGGCTTTCCTGTAATCTGAAACAGCACCATCTTCAAAAACTCATCAGTATAGTTTTTAAGCCCAGATATACCACACAGGTTTCTCCTTTCTTTCATGTTCTTTCTTCTTGTTCTTTGGAGTGCACTAGTGTCCCTACTCAGACTTACTCAGTTGTGGTGAGGGCGACACATGTCCCTTTAAAAGAGGCTGAGATACTCCAGGTGTAACAGCTTAAAAAAAAAAAAAAAGGAATACATCGAGATTCACAAGCTAGTAGTTTAGGATAATGTTACATTATAAATGGTAATGTATTTCAAACCATCTAACTGCTACCCAGTGGTGCCCTGCATGCTGCAAACTGGAGCTGAGCCATCAGTAACCTTCAGCACTGACATATAAAGATGCAACTAATTTAAAGATGTCTTCAATTACTAAGTTTGACTATATTAGAAGACCAGATGAAAGTGTCCTCTTTTTATGAAGGCCTGGGAACTCAATGCCCTGCCATTTCCTTTGACTTAGTGTCTGTTTAAAAATACTGGCTGTATTTATCTGGAACAAACAGTTTCAAGAAATTGCTGGTCACTATAAATGAGCTTTTGGCCTTAAAAGAACAGTTTCGATGTTGCAGAGCTCTTGCTCCAAGTGAACACCAGCGACACATCTGCAGTCCTTTTCCATCAAGTTTACAATAGTGTTAAGTGTTTGGGGGGAAATATTTTGTGTCTCTAAAACGAGTGCTGTCAGGGAGCCAGAGTCTTGCAGCAGATAACACTGAGCATTGCTGTTACTCAAGAATACCAAAACGTGCATGGGGATGCTGAAAATGAGGTCCCTTACTGCCTTGGAGTCACAAGGAAGGCAACTAATTGGCATTACTTTGGCAGCAAGATTGCTGTATCATCAGAGAGTCAGTGTACCACTTTCCTAAATCACTGAAGATCCCTGCTCTCTTTCAAACAGCACCACTTTTAATTTCCAGACCTAATCTTCTCCAAATGAACACCCACTCAGCTTTCAACTTAGTTCAGGAGGAACTCTGGCTTTTCTTGCGTGTCAAGCAGGATATATAGTC